ATGGAGACATAGGTGCAATTAGAAGTGGGGTCATAGCATTTATAGCCTTTTTGATGAAATGCATACCCCAAAAATAAGCACCGTGAGCACATGGGTCTAGCTTAGTCCACTGGTTCTTATGGATATGGATGTAAGCAACGCATGCAAACACATGGGGTGGAATCATCAAGACCGTGGGCAGGAGAGTATGTGCTGCAAGAGCTTGTAATGGTGTTTGGAACCCCAACACTCTAGAGGGCATTCGGTTCAGGAGATGCACAGAGGTAGTAACTACATCAGCCCAGTACTGTGGAGGAGCATGGGCACCTATTAAGAGAGCTCGGGTGGTCTCAAGAACGTGTCGATTTTTTTGTTTGGCAATACCGTTTTGCTGAGGAGTTCGGGGGCATGAAGTTTCATGAAGAATTCCATGATGTTCGAAATAATCGCGAAATTGGTGATCAACATATTCACCACCATTGTCTGATCGAAACACTTGAACCTTAGCAGAAAATTGTGTGTTTACCATAACATGAAATGACTTAAACACACCGAAAAATTCATCTTTATGTTTTAGCAAATAAAGTCAAGTCATCCGGGTTCAATCATCAGCAAACAACACAAACCATCTGAACCCAGACACAGTAGTAATTAGGGAAGGACCCCACACATCAGAATGTATCAAGGCAAATAGAGTATCTTTTTTATTCAAATGCAAAGAATAAGAAACTCTATGACTTTTTGCTAAAATGCAAGTTTCACATTGAAAATCAAAATGTTTCAATTGAGAGAACAAATCTAGAAGTAAGTGTTTCATGTAGGTGAAGGACGGGTGTCCTAACCGACGGTGCCAAAGCCAGATCTCCTTCTCTTTGACACAAATAGAATGCTGCATGTGATGTGCTCTGCCCATACTGAAGTCTTCTATGTAATAGAGTCCCCCTCTCTTAGTATCACGCCCAATAATCTCCTTGGTGAGAATGTCCTGGAGAAGAAAAAAGGTAGGGTACATAAGTACAATACAATTAAGGTAAGACATTACTTGGCTTACGGAGAGGAGCTTGTGAGATAGTGAGGGAACACGTAACGTATTAGGCAGCTGCAGAGTAGGGGTTAAGGTCACGGAGCCCGCGCCAGTGACAGGGGAAATAACGCCATTAGCATTGACGATATTGGTACGTCTTGGTAAGGAAGTCTGTGTGAAATCCTTAGCGTCAAACCTTATGTGGTCAGTGGCGCCAGAGTCCAGCAGCCATGCACCACGTTCAGCATCACCAGGTGAACTAAAACAAACACAACCAAGGTTACCTGAGTCAGGAGAGGAGGAAATATCCGAACCGTGGGCAACCAGTGGTGTAAAGACAAGTGAGGCTCTGCATTAGCCACCGCTGCAGTACCAAGACCCTCGTCCTTGCTAGCTGTGTCACGACGTTTCTTAGCGTGGAGATCATTCCACCAATCAGGATACCCGTGCAACTTAAAGCAAGTTTCACGGGTATGCTTCTGATTGCCACAATAGGTGCATTTCAAGCCTTCAGATGACACACAAGATTTCTGCTTCCCATTGTGCACGGTAGACGTAGAGTTGGCAGGCCCAAGTCGAAGTCCTTTGGTGGCGAGAATAGTGCCAAGAGCAGCCTCTGCGCTGCCAGTGATCATAACAGTCTGGCGAATTGCTTCGCGGTGGACATGAGCATATGCTTGCTCCATGGTAGGGAATGGACGAAGTTGCAGCACGTCGCCCCTAATCTTGTTCAGTCGGTCGTCAAGGCTGTCCAAGAAAACGTACACTCGGTCTTCTTGAAGGATAGTATTATAGTGTTGAATATCAAGTGCACACTCCATTGAATTAGGACGCCGAAAGTCAATCTCACGCCATAACCCCTGCAGATCGTTGTAGTATTGCTCTAGGGAGCCTCCAGCTTGTTTAAGCTAAGTGGTAGCAATGGAGTCCCACACCATTTTGGCAGTAGGAAACCAAATGAAATTCCCTATCAATGAGGAATCCATTGAGTTAATTAGCTAGCCTTTGACAATGGCATTATTCGTGCGCCATTTGCGAAAGGAGGGATCTACCGACGGTGGTTGTGGAAAATCGCCATTGATATATCCCAACTTGTCTTTGCCCGAGATGTACATCTTGACAACTTGGGACTAGAGGACATAGTTGGTGCCGTCCAACTTGATGCCAATCGGAGCAGCAGGGGGTTCGGTGTTTGGATTTTGCTAAGAGCTTCAGTGATTTTTGTTGTGAATTCGGTAAGCATGGAATCGGACTGAGATGCACCAGTGTGTTGTTCTGTATTATAATCCGACGACATGATTGGCGAGAAGACAAGTATTAGGGTTTTCGAGAATGAGAAGGCCCAAGATTAGGCTCTGATACCATGTTAAAATATTTACTCTATATTCTTATTCATAATACCTTTCACAATCGTTACAAATATATAAGACCAGAATAAATCTTCTATTTTTGGCTAAACAAATCAGGTTCCTATAATCATGCTCTCGTGTGAAGGAAAGGATTTCTTTCCATCCCTCTTCCTATAATTCCTCCTATACACTAATATATTACAACTCACGCCAACANGGGTACATAAGTACAATACAATTAAGGTAAGACATTACTTGGCTTACGGAGAGGAGCTTGTGAGATAGTGAGGGAACACGTAACGTATTAGGCAGCTGCAGAGTAGGGGTTAAGGTCACGGAGCCCGCGCCAGTGACAGGGGAAATAACGCCATTAGCATTGACGATATTGGTACGTCTTGGTAAGGAAGTCTGTGTGAAATCCTTAGCGTCAAACCTTATGTGGTCAGTGGCGCCAGAGTCCAGCAGCCATGCACCACGTTCAGCATCACCAGGTGAACTAAAACAAATACAACCAAGGTTACCTGAGTCAGGAGAGGAGGAAATATCCGAACCGTGGGCAACCAGTGGTGTAAAGACAAGTGAGGCTCTGCATTAGCCACCGCTGCAGTACCAAGACCCTCGTCCTTGCTAGCTGTGTCACGACGTTTCTTAGCGTGGAGATCATTCCACCAATCAGGATACCCGTGCAACTTAAAGCAAGTTTCACGGGTATGCTTCTGATTGCCACAATAGGTGCATTTCAAGCCTTCAGATGACACACAAGATTTCTGCTTCCCATTGTGCACGGTAGACGTAGAGTTGGCAGGCCCAAGTCGAAGTCCTTTGGTGGCGAGAATAGTGCCAAGAGCAGCCTCTGCGCTGCCAGTGATCATAACAGTCTGGCGAATTGCTTCGCGGTGGACATGAGCATATGCTTGCTCCATGGTAGGGAATGGACGAAGTTGCAGCACGTCGCCCCTAATCTTGTTCAGTCGGTCGTCAAGGCTGTCCAAGAAAACGTACACTCGGTCTTCTTGAAGGATAGTATTATAGTGTTGAATATCAAGTGCACACTCCATTGAATTAGGACGCCGAAAGTCAATCTCACGCCATAACCCCTGCAGATCGTTGTAGTATTGCTCTAGGGAGCCTCCAGCTTGTTTAAGCTAAGTGGTAGCAATGGAGTCCCACACCATTTTGGCAGTAGGAAACCAAATGAAATTCCCTATCAATGAGGAATCCATTGAGTTAATTAGCTAGCCTTTGACAATGGCATTATTCGTGCGCCATTTGCGAAAGGAGGGATCTACCGACGGTGGTTGTGGAAAATCGCCATTGATATATCCCAACTTGTCTTTGCCCGAGATGTACATCTTGACAACTTGGGACTAGAGGACATAGTTGGTGCCGTCCAACTTGATGCCAATCGGAGCAGCAGGGGGTTCGGTGTTTGGATTTTGCTAAGAGCTTCAGTGATTTTTGTTGTGAATTCGGTAAGCATGGAATCGGACTGAGATGCACCAGTGTGTTGTTCTGTATTATAATCCGACGACATGATTGGCGAGAAGACAAGTATTAGGGTTTTCGAGAATGAGAAGGCCCAAGATTAGGCTCTGATACCATGTTAAAATATTTACTCTATATTCTTATTCATAATACCTTTCACAATCGTTACAAATATATAAGACCAGAATAAATCTTCTATTTTTGGCTAAACAAATCAGGTTCCTATAATCATGCTCTCGTGTGAAGGAAAGGATTTCTTTCCATCCCTCTTCCTATAATTCCTCCTATACACTAATATATTACAACTCACGCCAACACTCCTGTGCCTGAAAGAACAATATAGAAGTGTCTCTCAGAAGCTTCTGATTGGCTCAATGATTCTCTGATATTAATGACAAAAGGAACTTTGGATGCCAGTCCACAAAAGAGCTTAGTAGGTGGATATATGTTACAAAATTGATAAGTTGTAATGATTTGTTCAAAAGGTCATGTCTATTTGAACAGTTGATGGCGAGGGTGGTTGCTTGGGGTCCTGTTGCTTAGTCATTTAGTGGTAGGAAATTTTGGTATCCCTGAGGCACTGAGAATGATATGATTTTAAAATGGGTCTTGTGGGATAGTTCAGAAAATAAGCATCTCTATGGCTATGGAAACACTGATGGAAGCATGATTAGAGAAGCTAAAACACTTGAGGCTTATTGGACTAGACAAAAAGATAGCTATATGGAACATGCCAAATCGGGGAAAGAAAAGTATTATAATATGGTTTCCTGGTCTACGCTTCTGTAGCTCTATTCAGATTTGGATCCTTTTCCGTTGGGCGTAAATGAAAGTTCATTTACTTCGTCTAATTCTGAAACATCTGCTGGGGCTCACATGGGTTGTGCCTTTCAACTGTCTCAGGGCATAATGGGTGTTTATTTATCCCCCAGTTGGAGAGGAGTTAAAAACAGCTCCTCTGACTGAGTGTGAATATATGAGATGTAATGAACTGTGTCAACTGTTGCATTTCTTTTGCTTCATTCCTCCAAGCAATATTTCTTAGGTGCTAGGGGGCCTTACCCAGTTTAAGGTTTTTCAGGATTTGAAACATTTGAAATGAGAATTTTCTTTTATCAAACGAAAGTGTATTTTACGAGATATGTGTTATAGTTGTTCCTGTCATGCTATATTTTCAGGCAGAAAAGGAGCCAATTTTAAGCAGCTTCTTGTATGCCAGTATATTGTCGCATGATTGTTTAGAGCAGGCATTGGGCTTTGTGCTTGCCAATCGACTCCAAAATCCTACACTTTTGGCAACACAACTAATGGATATATTTTGCGATGTAATGATGCATGACCGAGGCATTCAACGATCCATTCGTCTTGATGTGCAGGTGATTCAATTGGCATTCCACAAATTTTTTGGTCGTAGTTCATGAGTGTTTGTTCAATATTTATTTGCATATAATGCTCGATAATTTTCCTTTCACAGGCATTGAAAGACAGGGACCCTTCCTGTTTGTCATATTGCTCGGCTCTCTTGTACCTTAAGGTACTTGTTCTATTTCCTCCTTTCCTTGAGTGACTTTGTAGCATTATACCAAAAATAGCATGACTTCCCATTATTACTTATTTATTTTCCTTTAGATATCTTGGTTGACAAGCACTGCTATAAATTCGCAAGAATCCGACTGCCCCCCTTTCTTCTGGCCAGGAGATCTTTGCTCCATCTAGTTGTTTAAACTCTACCTGAAATGCTGGAAGGAGAAATGTGAAATACCATTTCTATACATCTTGTTAAATAGGACAATTTGCTTCATTTGAATGGATAAGTCGGAGTTGTTGTGTTTAGTTGCAATGTGCTCCTTATCATTATCCGTAAAGTGCTGAAATCAATAGGCATCTGCTAAGTCAGAACCTATATTTTCTAGGGTTACCATTCTTTGCAAACATATCGAATAGCACATGCATTGTGGAAGCAAGGACGCAAAGTGTTGGCATTGGCATTACAAAGTCGAATTAGTGAGGTAGTCTCTAATCTTTGCTATCATCTTGATGGGTATAATTTCCACATTCTTGGGAATTTTCCTTTTCAATACTTCCTCTAATGTGGTCAGTTATCTTTAATCCAGGTGTTTGGAGTTGACATACATCCAGGTAGGCCTTTATCTTATTTTTTTTTGTTCCATGGTTTATGACTTTGTTTAAGTTTATCAATGAGCTAAGTGATAGCAAGATTGATTACTTGTTATATGTCGATAAATGTACAAGGCTAAATTTTACCAACCTTTCTTTTATCTCTGCTGATTTTGTACAGCTGCAAAGATTGGAGACGGAATACTATTGGATCATGGCACGAGTGTAGTTATTGGTGAAACTGCTGTTGTAGGAAACAGTGTTTCACTAATGCAGGTAAGCCAACATTTTTCTTTTCATTAGTCACCATTATTTGATGGACTATTTTGATTGCCTTTTTGTTGAACGACCATGCAGCCATTTGGGAACAGATAGTTAAACCTCCTATGTAAAACACACCCCGTTTCTTGTATTAAATCAGTGGAATTTTTGTTAAAACCTGCGACATTTGAAAGCTGGCACATTGCTTTCAAGTATTTTACTAGAGAAAATTATGGTGAATCAGTACCAGGTGCATGATAATGCATGGAGTTGATAAGTCACCCATTTAAATAAGACCCAAAACATTCTTCCAAGAAGTTATAAACTGTCTAGATGTTCTTAAGAACAATAACGATGGTTGAATTTGCTGTATCATGTTAGGTTACGGTTTCAGGTACTAGTGTGGAATGGATAAAGAGGATGAGCAGAGCTTTGGATATGCTGTATACTGAAATGTAGACTTTGTTCCTTATGAATATCCTTTGAGCTTTGGACCCTATGTTGATTCATTTGGCTCGTTATGTGGACAGTTTGTGTAAGCACACATGATTCTTCTTTGGAACTCGCATCATTATCAAAATGTTTGACAGGGTGTAACCTTAGGAGGAACTGGGAAAGAACATGGTGATCGTCATCCAAAAGTAGGTGAAGGTGCATTAATTGGAGCCAGTGCAACTATACTTGGGAATATAAAAATAGGTGCCGGGGCGATGGTTGCTGCTGGTTCTCTTGTCTTCAAGGATATCCCTTCACACAGGTAAAGAAATGATGTATTCTCTATGTTAATGGATTGATGTTCTAGTTATCAGAAGACCAATGTCGTATCTGTTGGCATTGTGATATTATCCTTATTTTTATTTTTTGATTTTGAAGCATGGTGGTTGGAATACCAGCAAAGATCATTGGCTACATAGACGAGCAAGACCCTTCGCTAACAATGAAGCATGGTATGACTAATGGATGAGCATTGAAAAATAAATTCGGTGTTTCTCTGTAGAACTATGCCTTCCATACCTCTCACTTGTCCTCAATTGAACAGTAAACCACTATAATGTATTCTTGCTGGGGCTTAAAGTGGCTGGAAAGTCCCGTCCTCGTGCATGACATGACTACCTAGTTAATCACTTATACATCAAAATCCCCAATCGTAAGCATGCCTGGTTTCCTGGGTCAATTTTTTTGTTTTCTAGAATCTGGAAAACCATCTGTGGGTGATCTGTTGGCACTTGTTCTCAGATGGACCTATAGATCATTTTTTGAACATATTATCGGTCTATTCAACAGTAACACCTGTGGCCAAACTTTCCGGAACACACCTGAGGCTAAACAAAATGTCTTGGTTAATGTATTTAATTTATTCTCAAACATTACATCCGAGACCCAGGAGAGTGATGTCAGAATGTCCAAGCACATTGTTGGATAATCAGAAGACAACTTATGCCAAGAATTGTTTTTGGTGATTTCATGATGACTAACACTACTGAAACTCTATTACTTTAATTTCCTGGTGAACCCCAAGGGATATGGTCTACCAAAAAGTTGCTACAAAGTATTTCATGAGTTGGTAATGCATGCTGGAGGTCTTGCAATGTTGACATTCGGTAGTTTGAACGAAAGACTTATATGACTTTGTTGGTTGCTTCTATACCCTTTTTCCATATTTTCAACTGTGAAGCTTTCACTTGTATGTGCAGACGCTCGCAAAGAATTTTTCGAAAATGTAGCTGTTAGTTGCATGGAAGGGAGATCTACTGGTGAGTTTTTTAAAATGTTGTGTTTCCCTTACATATACTGCCTTAAAAACTGGTAAATTTTTGGATGCTCTGGCCAGAATTTAATCCATACAAATGTTTTATGGCGGTTGTCTAATATGTTTTGTCATTATTGTCATCATTATTCTTTGAGATAAGTATCATGACAGATTATTTTTCTTGGTTGAAAACCAACTGAGTGTGCTTGCACTCATGGTTCCTTTTTGATTTTACTGAGTGATGTAGACTAGGAAGGGAAGAATTGGGGATGAGAAGAGAAGAAGAAATGAATGAGAAAAAAGAAAGAATTTTGAGAAAGAAGTAATATTAGTATTAAATAATAATCAAAGCCAGTCAAAACAAATACCATATCCCCTAAGGAGAACACAAACCCTAAAATAAATAAATAGTCAAAATGACAACTAAGCTCCTGAAAAGCAAAATGATAAATAACTCCTAATCCTTGCATCTGCGTCTACGCCTACTATAACGAAATATAATCCGATTCCTATCATTTCTCCTCGACTGAAAAGAACTCACAACTAGAGAGATACGATTATGATAAGCTGACGAAACTCCACCTCAGTAATCCATGAAGCATTAGTCTCTGGATGATCTCTCCACTGAACAAGATAACGACGATATCTTCCATCTGAGGAGCCCACAATCTGATCGTCAAGTACATCTGCAATTTGGTCATGCAGTTGTAGTGGTAACGGTGGAAGAATAGGAACTGTTGGTGATGTTGTTGGCGAAGCAACTCCATCTGTAGGAACACTTGCTGGCAACATAGGAGGCTCAAAAGTATCATGATAAGGAAAAAAGTTCTCCACATTGAAAATAGGACTAATACTCATATTCGCAGGTAAGTCAAGGTGATATGCATTAAATTCAAGCTTATGAAGAATACGAAAAAGGCCAGTGGCTCGAGCATGTAACTTTTTGAAAGAATTTTTAGGGTAATGTTCAGGACGCACACGAACCATGACATAATCTCCCACAGTAAATTTTTTGTGCCTACAGTGAACATCTGCAGCCAATTTATAATTCTCATTACTTAATGTAATTTTCTGTCTTTTGTCGACATTCAAGTCATGAATATGCTGGACAAAAGCTTCGGTTGAATGTGAAGGACAGGAATCAGGAGGTAAAGGTAACATAGAAGTCTACATATAGGTTATGACGGAGACCCTAAGGAGAAATAAGGACCAGGCTCTCAATGGGCTTATGATTTCTATATTTAACCTAGAACAAACATCCTACAGCTTATTAATAATAAGTTAGTCTACTAAAGACTTATTATTGATCTCCTGGGCCTTATCTCAAAATTATATTCGACCTCATTATTATATGTTTAATAATTTTTTCACGTTTAAGATTATATATGTCCATCAATTAAATAAATCACTAACAATTATATTTAATTGATTTTTTTTATTTCTTGAAACCTCACCACTCACCTTATTTGTTATGTCAGATAACTAAATTCACCTGCTGGGTTTGACATGGACAAAACTTATGAGCTTCCTCAAGAGGACATCATCAATCCATTTAAATACTAAGACGTGGTTTCCTTTAATATTTAATTTCTACCATACAAATAATATCGTCTCCCAATTCATCGAGCTTATTGACCTAATATGAATATCACTCTTTGATTAATTAAAGTGACAAACATTATATGCACGTGACAATTAAATATTTAGGGATTAAGAGGATAAACAATCATAATAATCATGAGATATTTATTATCTTATTAAATTAGTAAAAGATAATAATCTCAACATAGGTCTGTTAAATACACAAAGTGTACTAATGCAATAATTCAAGACATCAAACAAAATCTCCTATAGTCAAAACAGATTATGCCAGAATATTACGCTACAATCATTCTGATGGCGTGTCCAATTCTATCTACGATTTTGAATATATACTCATATTATACAAGGATTCGATAATCTGGTCTTCTGTGCATAAATCGAACTCTACACACCAGATTATTTACAATGTAAAATATAAGACAAACATGCATATCATATATAAGATATAATACTAACATACACATCATATATAAAATATAATACAAACATTTTGTCCATATAAATTCTTAATAAAATGGAAAGAACAAACTTTTATTAATTAATAAAATGAGTTTCATTACAAAAAAATAAACTTTTAGTATACTACTCTATCAATGTGTTGTCCCTCTAAAGCGCTCTTGGTCTCGTTGGACTCTCTACCAATATCTCTTAGCCGAACCAATGAGTTTCATTTTGGCAAAACGAACCTGATGGTCATCAGACATATCATACCAATGAAAATAGTCATCCATTTCATTCAACCAATCTAAGAAAACAACAGGATCTAATCTACTATCAAAACTAGGAGCATCCATTTTGACTCTTTGTGTGATATCCCTAGATTCTTCATGGATATGCCTATGTCGAGAATTATGGTAACGCGGAGAGAGACGCCTATGGTATCTGACACGTGGTTAGAAGGGCTCACGATAACCATCCATATCACCTTCTGCTGAATAGTCAGACATGACTACCTCAATGGGATCCTCTTGAAAATTCCTACGACCTACGTTTTGCCCAAAAACGGTATTAAGAGGTGGTCTCCTATCTGGACACTGAACTTGACTCCCCTGAGCTACTTGCGGAGTGAGTAGGACACCTTGACATAAATCAATAGGATTTATCGGGAGAGGCAGGTGCCTAACATGGTGTGCTTGTCTGAACTTAGGTGAAACTGGTGACTCACTCTGGTTATACTCTATTGGTCGTTTTTCAATAAACTTAGTCAATTGGGCTAATTGAGTATTAACTTGAGAAAGTTCTTGCTCCATTTCTTTAACTTTCTCACGTAACAAGTCGATTGATTGTTTAATGTCGGTCATATCAATGGTGAGGGTCTCAAATTTTTCTTCCAGTGCAGTATGGGACTCTGAAAGCTCTCGAAGGGTCATAGTGAATGTAATGTAAAATTTGGGCTAATGGAAAATGCCGACTGGACTAAAAATTAAACCAATTAATAAAAACTATAAATCAATGCAAATAGTCACACACAAGAACAAGCTTATTGTGAAGAGACTCAAATAAATATGAGATAAGTAACAGTGGGTTTAACAAGGAATTGAGTAAGTTAAGTTATGAAGGTGGTGTGTGGGAAAAACAAACAAAAAAAGTTTAGGTAAGATTTTTTTTTTTTTTTGACTTACCAACAAATATAAATACTAGTCACCAATTCTCAACGAAGAGAATTCGTATCTGGTGTTAGATACAACTCCAAGAGGCTAATTAACAATTTAGAGGATCATCCTACAAATTCTAGAACTTTCTGGGGTGGTGTTTCTAAAATTTTCTGAATCTACTAGGGAGGTTTCAACAATTTTGGAGTTGTAGATGGTTTTTCTGTAATTTTCTGGACCTTCTGGGGATGTTCCTGCAATTCTAGAATTTCTGGGATGTTTCTACAATTTCTGAAACTTCTGGGGTGAAAGGGTTAAAATTGTGAACGGTGGGTCAAAATTTAAGCCACCAGATAATTAGGCCGTCTTCTCCTTCTTTATCGTGCCAGTAGGCGTAACCCTAGCGCCAAGTTCAACAACAGCAACAAGAAGAGAAGGACAACAATGACGACGATGGATCGATGACGAAGAAGCAAGTGACAACAATGAAGCCGAACACAACGAGTGCTATGGAGGACAATTATGAATTTGATTCTTCTCATTCTTTTGTTTTTTTTTTTCACTGCTAATGGCGAAGAATGGTGTGCGATGAACAGTGCGCGTGATGAATAGTGATGATGTGATTTTTGTGATTTGTACGAATCAAAATTAGCCTCTGATACCAAATTGATGTAGATCGTATTAGTTTTGATACCAAATTGATGTAGACTAGGAAAAGAAGAATTAGGGATGAGAAGAGAAGAAAGAGATGAGAAAAGAGAAAAAATTTTAAGAAGGAAGTAATGTTAGTATTCAATAATAATCAAAGTCTGCCAAAACAAATACCATATCCCCTATATATATAAGGAGAACACAAACCCTAAAATAAATAAATAGTCAAAATGACAAGTAAGCTCCTGAAAAGTAAAATGACAAATAACTCCTAATCCCTACGTTTATGCCTACTATAACGAAATATAATTTGATTCCTATCATTGAGGCTGCAGGTGAATTTCCTTTTTGATTTTACTGAGGCTGCTCGTGAATTTTAGTTAATACTGACACAACAAACTAAAGGTTTGGAAATCCTAACTAAGTGGCAAGATGACAAGATATCAGAGTAGTCAAAATAAGGATCCAATTGTATTGCCATGATATCAAAGAAACAACGGTAAGTGAATGTTTTCATGAATTGCTGGCTTTTAATGAGTATCTAATAACTAATAAGTATGCTTTAAGAATTTGATAACGTATAATAAAAACCAGTGATTGCTATATAAAGAATAAAATTGCTTTAGTTGGAGGATGAAAAGAGAGAATCCATTACTCAAATTTTGGGACGGAGGTGCAAGAAAAGAGGCACTAACCTATTGGTTTCACTAACATGCTTTCTGAAAACTTTGATGTTGATCAGAAAGCCTGCTACCACTACATTGGATTGCCAAAAAAGATGCTAGAGAGGATGTATTCTAGAGAGATTGATATAGGGTTTGGAAATCCTAACTAAGTGGCAAGATGACAAGATATCAGAGTAGTCAAAATAAGGATCCAATTGTATTGCCATGATATCAAAGAAACAACGGTAAGTGAATGTTTTCATGAATTGCTGGCTTTTAATGAGTATCTAATAACTAATAAGATGAGACTATATGCTTTAAGAATTTGATAACGTATAATAAAAACCAGTGATTGCTATATAAAGAATAAAATTGCTTTAGTTGGAGGATGAAAAGAGAGAATCCATTACTCAAATTTTGGGACGGAGGTGCAAGAAAAGAGGCACTAACCTATTGGTTTCACTAACATGCTTTCTGAAAACTTTGATGTTGATCAGAAAGCCTGCTACCACTACATTGGATTGCCAAAAAAGATGCTAGAGAGGATGTA